CCTTGGAAGACAAAAGAATAATGAGGAAGAACCCAATAGAGGGATGCTTTTGGAAGCCCTTGTCAAGAAATTCCAGTGGACTCTCATATGAACATATGAAATTTGCTCTGTTCTGACTTTTTACTAGTTCCCTGTCTAGAACTTGTAATGCTAATTGCTTTTGCCTTTACATCTCCTTCACATCTCCTATTCACCAGTCAAGGACTTTCTTCCTCCCCTCCCCAGGTAAGAGTTATGCAATTTCAGAAACTTTAGATAGACCAAGGGGTACCCCGAGTGCCTCACCCTGCATACCTGTACAGCATGGAAGAAGCCCCAGTGGTCTGCATCCCAATTCCCTATCTGCAAGCTGGGTAACCTCTTTAGAGGATGGTGTGATAAGAATAGGAGGAAAGAATTGGGTAGGCAGCTATGGTAAAAAGACCCCAAAGAAAAGTAGCCAGTTTCTTGGCTAAAAGTCACAGTGTCCTTGAGCCTCTTAGCAACATACTCCGTTTCAAAGGACAAAAATGTCAAAAACATTTGGGAGCTTTTATCTAATCCTTAAAATAGTTTATGCTTACATCTTCAGAGGGGGGAATGTTAGAGTAGCAAAAATCCCCATTAAGAAAAGAATAAAAGAAGAAAGAGTACATGAAGTTATCAGAAAAAAGTGATGGGTAAGTATGGGAGGAGTGGAGGGGAGCGAGTGGGCATGGATTTGATCAAAACACCTTATATACATGTATGAAATTCTCTATAAATTATTTTAAAAAATCGTTGATCTTTTATGACATTCTGGTTCATCAAACCATACTAAGAAAACAAAGTTATAATTTCTGAAACTATGTTTGCATAACATGGCTGAAAATCAGGGTGTATATTTTCTAATAGTAAAGATTCTTTAGGTGCTATCCAAGAAATAAAGTGTAATACACAGTTCAATCACAGCACACAGGAGGCACAGACAGGCAGATCTCTGTGAGATCCAGACCAACTGGGGCTACAGGAAGAACCTGTCTTTAACAAAAAAGACAAAAGAAAAAGAAAAAAGAAAAGAATAAGTACACTGAACGCCATTCTGTGAGCTCCATCTGACCTCTCAGGCCTGTGCTAGTTCCCCATAGTCAGATGACTTTTCTACCCTCAGCCCTCTGTTCTGCCATTTTGACTCCCAGGTGCACCCCTATCCCATCTCTCAGTCCTGATCAGGTGTTCCAGAACCCTGCCTAAGATATAATTTTGAGCTCTTACAGACCATGACCTCTCCACACCCAGCATTCTTGTGTCTGCTCAAGTTGCTTAGTTCCATACATGTGCCATACCTGTGAGTCCCAGAAAAACCTGTGAGTGCTTTTATACCTCTGAGCTCCCCAATTCCAGTTTTCTTATCTTCCCTTGCAGCACCCAGTATACACAGATTCTGCAGCTTCCTGTACCCTCTAGACCAATGAGTTCCCACAGGCACTGTGCATACAGGGTTTTAAAGTAAATAAAAGAATATTAATTGGGAATTATGAATACTTGCTAGAACATATACTAACAAATATTCTGACATGAAAAATGGAGTTATTTGTCCTTCTACATAAAACTTAGTTTACAAAGTCCAACTAAATAAGGAAAAGGAATATTCAAAAATGGCTTCCTTGTCTAGTCACATCAGTCATAAGGTACAGAAACACACACATACACACGGTGCACATGGACCTTTCAGCATAGCAAGAAGTAATTCTTCAGAAGATTTGGTCTACTCTACTGTGCCACATTTTCTCTTCAAGATATACAAACTAATTTATTAGGTGAGCATTTAATCTGGCAATAGATGTAGGAAACACTAGTTACCAGACTGGTGTGGGAAAAAAATCCATGGAAACCTTACAGCACAAAACAGGTACTTTTGTAAATTTTCATTAATTACTGTATATTTCATACAGAACATCTTAATAGTCTTTATGTCCACTTCCCTTTGACATTCCCCTATAGTTCTGTTATTAGTATTAAGGCTTAACATGTCAAGTTAATGTCCCCAGACATCCCTCAGTGCAAGTTCCTCCACTGTGGCCTAATCAGCCTATCTAGAGTCCCTCCCTTTAAGAAAATCAGATCTTCCTCATTAGCAGCAGTTATCAGCTGCATATATGTCTTTAGCTAACATTGGGGCCTGATGCCTATTTCTACAGTTCTATGCTGGGGTTTTGTCTCCTTGCCTTTTCATGGGTTTTGTACATGCTGACACAATTGCTATAGTTTCAAGTGAGTAAGTTTCCAGGATCCTGCAGAACTCTATTTCTGTAAGATCATGAACTTCCTCCCCTAGCTGTTGCAATCTGTCCTTCTCCCTCTTCCACAATGATTCCTGAGCCCTGGGTTGGTGATGGTTAATATAGGAGTCCTTTCCAAAGACCCACTCTCTGCAGACTCTGATTCTCTACACTTTGGCCATTTCTGTCCTTTTCTCTTCATGGCCCTTTGGTGTATGAGGGAGCTTCATTGATGAGAGTTCAGTGATGCATTAGTATTTTATTAATCTCTTCCAGTATTTTAGGTGAGACTTAGGTTGGGCAAGTCACAATCTCTGTGTATAACAAGTTGTGGAACTGTAATAATCTCCATCTGTTGCTAAAGAAGATTCTTTAAGGATTGGTGGCTAGCATACTTCTCTATAAGTATAAGGATCCATATTTAGTGCATTTGTCTAGGGATGTGACAGCATTGGAGTTTTCTCTAAGAGTATAAACATTTCATCCATGTGTACTTGGCTATGCTTACTGTATCACACAAGAGTTCCCTCCTACTTAGTGGGGTTAAAGTCCAATTAGGTAGCTTTTGATTATCCCCAAGATAAATGTGCCACTACAGCCCCAATAAAGTTTGGTGTGCACATCAGTGAAGTAGATAGTAGGCCTTAGAACTGAAGTTGGCTCATCAATTGATGTTCTCCCTTAGCAGCTTCTCTAGTGTTCTCCAAATCTGTGAGAACTAGCCTTCATGGGAGGCGGCTTCCAAGTCAGTTCCAGCTACATTGCTCCAGATTCTGTGTCCGAAGCATGTCCTGACTTCAGCAATAGGGTCTTACATTTTGTGAGTTTCTTGAGCTCCTCTGGCAAACAGCTCAAAGGATGGTTCTCATGTCTGGCACTGTTTTTGTTATATACTTGACACTTAACTTACTTGACACATATCGATACATTGTATGTGCAAGTTTTCAAAATACATTTTCCTCCAGGTTTGTACAGCAGCTAAGCATTATTGTTTCTCATTCTTACTCCCTGTATAGCCATCCATGTACTTTCCCCAGTTAAAGTACCCCCATTTTTTCCCATTTCACCCTTGATAATACCTGTTTCATGATCTCCCCTCTCTTGAGTTTGTTCTTCCCCTTTACCCACATGGATCTTTATAAAAGCCTTCTGCCACATCCCCAGTTAAAATACCTGCATTTTACCCATTTTACACTTAGCAACACCATTCTCCTACTGTTCTCTCTCAGACTCCTTTGTCTGGACTCAGGTTTGGTTTTCTCAGTGGGGACCTACTGGCTTCAGTGCAGAGAGACTTGATCAGTGACAGAATCTTGGACTCTGGGATTTGTGTCTTTTTAACAGGGCATTTATTTGAAAATTAAAATGGTTTTTGTACATCCCAAGGAACTGGCAGTCACATGGCATATGGTACTCACATACAAAGATTTCGGGTACAAAGAAACAGGACGTCTAGTCTGTTAGTTTGCGCAAGAAGGTCGCTTAAGCATTTACTCAAAGTTATCAATGCCCATCTGGTAATTTATTGGCCACAATGTTTTCTTCATTAGAGTAAAAAGCATGGTAAACTTTTACCTTTAAACTCAGGAGTGAACCTTTAACCTGGCCTGAA